GATTGTTACTTTTCTTCTCTGGCAGTATGCAGAGTGCCTTACAGAGCCATGGATGCTGGTCAGTAGGGGCTGATGACATATTTGTTGTCTTCAGCAATAGGACCTTATCATCGGGGTTGTGGTGAGTAACCCGTAGCCTTCACAATAGCTTGTGGTGTTTGGGGATCTATGAGACCCCTTTGGCCAAGGCCGAACAAAATGTAACCCATTCCTGGCACTGCAGGTTTTAGTGGTGGTATAAGACATCTAATTTGGATATTATTCTTCCCATTGTATGGTGACTCCATTTTGATTCCTTTCATTTTTACATAGATTTTAGGAAGCTTCTGCAGTAGTATGTTCCCAGAGGCTTTCCTAAAGGCCTTAACGTTAGTTGCTCCCCTCCACATTTCTTCCTTCATCCTGACCTTCCATTCCCATCCTTCGTTAGATCCTCCTATTCTAGTCCCCCTTACCTCTCCATACACTGCACTCTGCTCCACTTCCTTGAGAGGTGCCTTCATCACTTTCCTAGGCGTAACATCTATGGTTATTTTGATTGTGGCACACAAATCTAAAGCTTAAAAGCTAAGATTTACATAAAAGAGAAAATATGCAATATTTGTATTTGTGGATCTGTGTTACTCACTCAGGATGACTGTTTCTAGCTCCAACCATTTACCTGAATTTTCATTTTTCTTAACAGTTGAATAATATTTCATTGTGTAAGTGTAGCACATTTTCATTATCTGTTCATCAGTTAATAACCATCTAGGCCTTTTCTAATTTCCACCTATTATGAATAGAGCAATAAATGTACATGGATGAACAAGTCTCTCTGTAGTAGAATTAGAGTCCTTTGGGTATATGATCTTGTAGTAGATTAATTTTTAGCTTTTTCAGGACATTTCACACTGAATTTTGTATGGGCTGTACACATTTTCACTCCCATCAGCAATGAATAAATGTTTTCCCTTTCCCCACATGCTAACCACTGCTGATCTGTCATTTGTGTTATTGATCTTAGCCATTCTAACTGGGTTGAGATGAAACCTTAAAGTAGTTTTAATGTATTTCCCCATTCACCCATAATCTTGAAGTTCAGCTAGCCTGGAGTATCAAGCAGAAACAAGAGACACCCTCAACAAGGTATAAGTAGAGAACCAACTTCCAAAACTTGTCTTTTGACTTCCACCATGCTTATTGGGGCATGTGTGATGTGTCCCCCTACCCACCCCACCCACGACCCAATATTCACAAGTTATATACAATAGGAAAAGGATGGTTAGCTTTGGTAGTAAGGTTGCAGAAGAACCTCAACAGCATCTTCTTCATTTACAGATTTCTAGGGTGGGTAACTTTACACCTGCTATAATTACATGCCCACGCTTCTGCTGTAAGAATCCATACCCATCACACACAAATCATACAACGTCTGACCCAGCTGGGTTGACAAACAGCCCAGCCCATCTCTTCCTTTGGGCGTGCAGTCTCCATGCCTACTTTGATTGCATGGCTCCTTTTCTCAGTGCTTGTGCTGGTTACTTTGTATCGACTTGACACAAACTAGAGTTACTTACCTCACTTAAGAAATTGCCTCCCTCAGACTGCCTGAGGGGCACGTTCTCTACTGATGACGGATGTGGGAGGGCCCCGCCCAATGTGGGCAGTATGCACCTGGGTAGGTGGACCTGGGCGGTGTAAGAAAGCAAAATTAGCTAGCTACAGAGCAAGTCAGCAAGCCGTGCTCTGCAAGGCATCCCTGCTTCCGTTTCTGCAGTCAGGCTTCTGGCTTCCCTTGATGATGTGTCCTCTAAGCTGGAATGCTTTCCCAGCCTACAGTGGTTTGGGTCTCTGTTTTATCACAGCGACAGGAAGTAAACTAGGACAGTGTTGTCTTGTGCCTCCCCCACTGCCATCGTATTTTCCTCCTGGAGGAAGATGCATGGAATGCTCCCATTTGGCCTTTTGAGTATTTTCCTCCTGGAGGAAGATGCATGGAGTGCTCCCATTTGGCCTTTTGAGTATTTTCCTCTTGGAGGAAGATGCCATGGAGTGCTCCCATTTGGCCTTTTGAGTATTTTCCTCCTGGAGGAAGATGCCATGGAGTGCTCCCATTTGGCCTTTTGAATATTTTTTTTTCTCCCTAAAGATAGCGTTTTCCCTTTGAAAGTGAGTTCCTAACCTAGCTCTAGATTCTTCCAAGGCTCTTTTATCTCAAGTAGAACATTAAAAATTCACTGGACAAGCCTACTTACTGATGTCGAGCACTCATTTCTCTTCTTATTTTGTCCTTTTATGCGACCAAAAAATCTTTCTTGTGCAAAGGACAGGGTTTGATGAGTGTGCCACATACAGTGTTTCCCACCGCCACCCATGAAGGACTTCTGATTTTCAGGAATGTGACTCCATAAAGCCGCTTTTCTTTTGTCGTTATCTTCTACCCACAGGGGCAGAGTGAAGAGCTATTTGTACCTGTCATGTTTTGACAGAAGGGGCCTGCAGAGGATAGGCTCCTGCCATCTCATCCCAATCCCTTTCTTGGCCTCACCCTCATGGCCATGGCATCTGATACGCATTCCTGAGCAAAGAACTCAAGGGTGGAAGATGCTGGGGATCTGAACTCTTGCTTTACAAGGCAGGAGCTTAGCCTTTCCCCGGGCCCTATTTTGGTTTGATAGTGAAAGATATTTTTAGTTGGGTGTTTTCATACAATATATTAAGGTTTTGTCTTACTAAACATGGAATACTTGACATTTTCTCCTTTAACCCCTAAAAGATGTTATAGCTACTCATGGATTCCTGCATACATTGCTTCCAACAAGCAGCCTGGTGGCATTCAGGTCTTTATAATTTGTGTTATATGTCCTACCACCAGCTACTGTTTAGACTTTTTTTTTAATGACACATTTCTGTGGTCTTGAGACAGCCCTAGCAGATCTCAAACTTTCTATGTAGCAGAAGATCACCTTAAGTTCCCAACTGATCTTCCTGCCTTTACCTCCTAAGGCCCGGGGCTCAGGGTGTATACTACTAGTATTAGCTTGTTTGTAGCTTTAGTTTGTAGCTTTAGTTTTTGTCCCCCCCCCATGCACAATTTTTTACGATGGACCTTTTGTATGTGTTTATATGTGTTAAATGCATGTACATATGCATATGTGTGCACATAGGTATGAGGGTATTATGTGTGTGGAGAGTATAGATGACATTCCTCAGGAACCATTAACCTAAGTTTGGAAACTGTTTCTTACTGGCCTGCAGCTCCCCAAGGCTGGCTAGTGAGTACAGTTACACCATGTCTAGCTTTTTAAAACATGGGTTCTGGGGACCAACCTCAAGTCCTCATGCTTACAAGGCAAGCCCTGCGGTGACGGTTCTGCCTCCCCAGCCTCGTGAAGTTTTCATTCTGTTTCTTGGGTCTGGGGTTACTGACCTTCCTGATGTATAGCTTTCACCAACTTTTGGAAGTTTTGACCATTCATTTTCCAAGCATGTTTCCCCCTTCTCCCTCTCTTTCCTCAGAGACTCCCCTGAGACACAAGCTATCCTGCAGCCCAGTACTATTCTCCCAATTTTCAATAAAAACTTTAATCCCTGCATTTCATGAATAATTTCCTCTGTGATATCTGATATTCTGTTAATTATTCCTGTTAAGGCATTCTAGCTTTCCCTTCTTTGGTGAGTCTTTAAATTCATTTTTATAGCTAATTTCTCCAAGAATAGAACACAGATAAAGTAAGTGCTATGGTGTCCTTGTCTCTTTAGTCTAATAACTGTGCAGTGTTCGGTGGTTTGGGGAACTGATTTGTCCCTTTATTATGGGCTTCTTAGCTTGTTTCTTAAAATGCCTGATATTAGTTGTAATTACCTCTTTGGTTTGGGATTATTTTATAGTCTATAAATACTCATTTCTTTTACTTTTTGAGATACCTTCTCACTTTGTCGTGCAGATTAGCCTGGAACTCAGAAAGTAGCCTAATATGGCCTTGTGGTCTCCTTACACCAATCCTCCTGCCTCAGCCTCCCCAGGAATTGGGATAATATGTATAAGCTACCTTCATATATTCTTGAACTATGTTCAGAGTTGCACTGAACTTATTTGAAAACAAATTGATACTCATAGGGTTTTGAGCTTAGGAGTTGGCAGTCAGAACCCAAGAGATACTACATGCAGGATTAATTAGGTGTCTGTGAATGTGCCACACAATGCCTCAATGCCTCAGCAATGATGGGCGTGTTCATCTGGTCAAGGGAGCAGACACAGTAACCAGTATTACATCATCGCTGAGTACCGTGCCCTCTCATCTTCTCTGATAGTTCTTTTTACTGCCTGCACAAGTTCCCTCCAGATGCTGCTGGTCAGTACCCAGTGAGCACTTAAAATGGAAGATCCTTTGTAGTTCCCTGGTGCTTTTCTGGGCTTCTCTAAAGTTGGTATTCCCCCCTGGTGCTCTCAGCTCTCAGCTTCAGAGGATGCTTTAGATTTTGACAGTATGACCCTTTTCTGACCATCCCTGAAGACATCTGCAAGCATCTCCTTAATGCCTATTGGTCAGGGAGGACTGTACTTTGCATCCCCCTCACCTCCCGCCCCCTTACTGGTTGTTTTAGAGGGAGACAATATTGAGATTTAACCCATGGTACCTTTTTATGGCCAGAAGAGAATTTTTAGCTGGATCTCTATTTTAAAAAGTGAATCTCACTCAACACCAGCTTATGGCTCATAAATGTATAAATTATGTTTTATAGATGCTACATAATATTGCTCTCTCCCTGGGGAATGGATGAACTGGATGGATCCATTGCATTGCTTATGACAAAACATTTTGTTGTTTTGTGGAAACACTTTCAGTGTCAGTTAGAGGAAATTGCTGCCACAAGTTGATCATTATCAATAGCCAGGAAATGGTGTGAAATCATCATTAGATTCAAGATGTTGGTTTGAGTGGGAGACTCTCTATATGTGGAGGCGTCTGCCAGGGAAGCAGGCTTGTTACAACTGCCTGCATTTGCCATACTGACCATCATTTGGCATGATGTTGGATGCTAACGGCACTGACAGCTTACAACTGGCTGCTAAAGTTCCTTTGGCATTTTTAATGTCCCTACTTGCTTTTGCTATAATGCTAGGCAACGCTGTGGTCATTTTAGCCTTTGTGGTGGACAAAAACCTTAGACATCGAAGCAATTATTTTTTTCTTAATTTGGCTATTTCAGACTTCTTTGTAGGTAAGTTGTGTGTTTTTATTTCAAATAATCTTTTCAAACTCATTTATTTCTAAACCCTTAAAGTCTTGTTACTTAGGGACTGTATGGATTGGAAGAACTAAGATGAAAAGTTAAAGAGTTAGAACTCTGGGAAGGGTGTGTATGCCACTTTTAAAGGAAATTCTGTACATATGGGTACATCTGAAAAAGTTTATTTTTTTTATAGAATAAATGAGTTCAGGATAGTTCTAGAATTACTTTAGTGTCATGGCTAGCTTGTCTTCAGAACTATTCTCTAAAATGTTTAGACTTAGCAATAGTCTTTCCAAAGTAAGTATGGTTTCCTTTGTATCCAATGTTGTAGTAATGGAAATCATATGTGTGCTGGAAGCCAGCATGATCAGGAGTGAATGAGCTATGGGGTCAGCACCGTCAGTGTACTGTGTAGCACAGAATCATACACACTCAGCATTCAGCTGCTCTACATACAACAAAGTACCATAGCAGCATGTGACTCCAAGAGTTCACAGAAACCAGATTCCTCTTTCTTAGAAAAAAAAATTTTAAAAAATAATTTTCACTCCCTTATTGTTACCACTTTCTGTGAGCCCAACACTTTGCCTTCTCAGCTGACATGGCATACTCTCCTCTTTTCACAATGCTTATGCCAGGTAGCTACAGTACAGCGTGTGTGTGTGTGTGTGTGTGTGTGTGTGTGTGTGTGTGTGTGTGTGACTTTTGAGGGGAACTGAGCTTGCCCACTGCCCTCAGTTCATTCGTGTAACAGTTACACATTTCAAAGCAACAAGATTCTCGCCCTTGTGGAGCTTCTGTTTGTACTAGGCACGAGACTGGGAAGATATAACGCACAGCATGAATAAGTGAAGGCATGTAGCATTTTAGAGGTGGCAGTTGCTGCTCAGAAAAAGACAGCAGGATGGGAGTGGAGGAGAGGGTAGGGTTGTGTGTGGGAGGGGGGTTCAGCGGGAAGCTGGATGGCTAGGGCTCACTGAGAAAGACCTGAACGAGCAGAGCCAAGCTTGAAGGATGCGAGGAGGTTGTGCGGTGTGTGAGCTTGTGAGCTTGCGGTAGAGTGAGTGCATGGAGGGACAGGTGAGGGCAGGTGGCAGGGGCAGGCTGCTGCACAGCTCCTCATTCTCCTTTCAGCGCCGCCTTCTTTTAATTGGCTTACTTGACTTCCGTGTTCTTTTTAATCTCACGTTTTAATTGGCTTATACTTGACTTCCATGTTCTTTTTAATCTCACGTTTTAATTGGCTTATACTTGACTTCCATGTTCTTTTTAATCTCACGTTTTAATTGGCTTACTTGACATCCCTCACTTCCTTTTAATCTCACGTGCAAAGCTCACTGTTCTAGCCATGGAGAAGCTCTGGCTTTCACTTAGCAAAATTATCCAGGATCAAAGTTTCAGAGCAGACCTGCCTAGCACATGGATACAGCAGGTTTTTTTTTTTTTTTTTTTTTTTTTTTACCAAAACCAAAAGAGTGGGGTCTGGTATGATGAGTCAGACTTTGGTGCTTGCCCTACAAGCATGAGACCTAGGTTCAATCCCCAGCAGCCACCTATAGGTGGCTGGGCATAGTGACATACCCTTGTAGCCCCAGTGCTGGGGAGGTGAGATGGGTTTGCTGGCCTGCCTGACTTAGCAAATCAGGGAGCGCCAGGTTCAGTAAGAGACTCTGTCTTCGAAAAATAAAATAGATGGCTTAGATGGCTCCTGAGAGGAATGATCCCCATGTGGTCTTCTGGTCTGTGTACTGATACAGGTACAAACACACGCACACACACACACACACACACACACACACACACACACACACACACACGCACACACACACACTCCCCAGGAACAGACTAGTGTACCCTAAGCCAGCTATTATTTAAAAGCAGCTTCTAGAAACCTTAGCACATCCTTCCTCTTTCATAGAAGTCAGAAAGAACATGGGAAAGAGAGAATCTCAGGTCTCTCTTCAATCTTGAAGTCAGTGTGTCTAGTGGTCACTCACTTCTCCTGTGGAAGAACTGAGTATATAGGTGGAAAGTATACATCCTGGGAGCACCGGAAGCCACAGTGATGAACCCAAATCCGAATGTCTCATTTTGAGGGACTTTATCTCAAGTACTTGGGGCTCTACCTTCTGTCATAGTTCCCCTCCTGCTGGGCGATATAAAAGTCACCACAGGGAAGCTAACTGAGGCAGGGTCGGAGTGTATGCTGTAATCTCTGCCCCAGGCCTGCAGGAAGGCTAAAACAGAAGGATCGGAGCTTCGAGAAGAGCCCAAGCTATTACAGCCTGGGCTAGATAGTGAGACCCTGTCTCAATACAGCAAACCCCACATAAAACCACATCCCCCATAACTGAAACATAAAGTGAGCAGGCTATTTGAACTACATGTGGGATTGGAAGACAGTTGGTGATGCAGGCCTGTCTGGCTTACGCAGTGAGCCCCAGTTTCATTCGGAGATCCTATCTCAAAACATAAGGTCGAGAAACAATTGAGGAAGATATTCTGACATCGTGTTATGGCTTCCACATGTGTTCCTGCCTAGGAGTGTGACCCTGCATCCATGTGCATTCACATGTACAGTTGTACACACATACACCTACATGTGTGTGCGCACACACACGCGCACACAGACTGACTTCCAACAGAGACACACACTGCTGACTGGGAAGAGGAAGGATGGAGGAAGATATACAGTAAAAATACATTTTCATGCATGACGATGTCATAATGAAACCCTTCATTGTGTATGATTAATTTACACACACACACACACACACACACACACACACACACACACACGAACCTTTAAAAACAATGGCAAAGTTGCCGAGAGTAAGTGATAAAGGGATCACCTCGGCCCAAGAGCTTCTAAGTGTGGAGGAAGTGGATGTTTTGACTTGCAGGAAGAGTGACAGGAGTAAATGCAGTTCCCCAGAGAAGGGGGAGCAAGGAGGGGCGCAGCCAGCCAGCGTGTACCCAGGTGTGAGCCCTGAGATCTGACTTGCACCATAGTAAAGACATGGAAGAGGAAACACTCTAGGAAGAGCAACGTTGGCAACGTGGAAGGGTTGGGAAAATAAAGGCTGTGCTGCTGGAGGGGCCACCTACCATGTTTGAACTGGACCACAAAGAACATACAGATTAATTTTGATGGATACAGCTCGAAATGTGGCTAAGGGGATAAGTGATAAGGAGCTCTCACAGGTATGTTATTTGTGGCGACTATTCTGAAAATAACATTTAAAGAGTGCGTGGGGGTATTCTCGTCTTACACAGTTTGGAAAAAACTAACAATTGTTGTATATAACTTTGTTGACCCAGCATTAATACAGCAAAATGACTGAGGCAATGAACTTAGAAAAGAAAAAAAAATAGATCACAGTTTGGCAATTCAGACCCAAGGTTGGGTGGCCTATTGCCTTGGCTCCTGATGGCGGCAGATGGCAAGGGTTGGGGGCATGCTTGTGAGTGAGCGCTTGCTTCTACAGCTGGCAGACCTCTGCCCTATACCTCTGTCCACCTCATGCTCCAGTGACCTAAAAGCCTGGCACTAAGCTTCACTTCCTAAAAGTCCACAGCCTTCCCCATCCTACCATTGTGAAGACCAAGGTTTCCCATGCACATCTTTGAAGGAAAGTTATCTGAATTTTAGTAATAACCAAGCTATTTTCATGAGTTCAGACATGTCATTTTGTGGCGTATCCATTAGAATATACTGTTTTTTTTTTTTTTTGTAGTCAGTGATGTGTACTGTTTTTTGAAAAAATTAAAAATCAATTTTATATTTATCTAGTGGTGTGTGTGTGTGTGTGTGTGTGTGTGTGTGTGTTTGTGTGTGCCTGTCATGCTATGCATGTGTAAGTTAGAGCACAAGAGTTAGGTCTCTCCTTGTGTCGTGGGCTTGGGGGATTTGTCAAGCTCGGTGGCAAGCAAGCGTCTTTAGTCACTGAGACATCTTGCTGGTCCAACATTGTTTTTTAATTCATTTCCTCCCTGTGCAGGTATGATCTCCGTCCCTCTGTACATCCCTCACACGTTGTTTAACTGGAATTTTGGAAGTGAAATCTGCATGTTTTGGCTTATTACTGACTATCTTTTGTGTACAGCATCTGTCTACAATATTGTCCTCATTAGCTACGATCGATACCAGTCAGTTTCAAACGCTGTAAGTCACAAAGTTAACTCATTTTCCTTAGAGGATTATGTAGTTGTAAATTCTGGGTCCCTAGGCCATGCATATATTCCTGTACTGGGCATATTGGGGATGAATCCAAGGGACATGAACAAATTTGAAGCTTTTCATCCTTTTGATAACTGGCCTAAAGTCATCCTTGGCTTTTATTCTGTGTGAGCTGGCTCACGCTCCCTGTGGGTGTCTGGAAGGGGAGGGAAGGGGGCAAAGAAAACCCACGATTAACTGTGAGAGCTACCAGATTGTGTCTTCAGTAGTTTGGATGTCTCTAGGTTTATAACCATGGCCAAGTTGAGACCCCACTATTTTCCTCAAGATAGAGCTTTGTGGGTAACTAGAAAGAATCCCAGAGTGAATGGATGAGAAAATCAATGTGAACACAAGACAGGAAATACAGCATGGCCAGTTTAGCCTGTGTGACAAGAAAGCTGAATTTAGCCAAAATCTGGAGCAGCCTCATGGGTGAGTTAGAAGCGATTCTTAAGCAAGGTAAATCTCTCAGCCACAGAAGGCGGGGGCGGGGGGACAGGGCACGGATAGAAAGAAGTCACAAAAAATGTGGGGCAGTGATTTGTGGTCTTAAAAACAATGGAGGAGGACTGGATCTGGGGAGGGAGGGACTGGGAGGAGTAGAGGGAGGGGAAACTGGTTGGGGTAAAATGTTGAGAGATGAATAAAAAATCTCTCTGTGTCTCTGTCTCTATCTGTGTGTGTGTGTGTGTATACGCATGTGCGCGTGCATGTGTGTGTGTGTGTGTGTGTGTGTGTGTGTGTGTGTTTACCATGGTTTTGTTCTAAGGAATTCTCAGCAGTGAAGGCTGCTGATTATAAGACTGGACCTGTATTCTTAGGAACACAGAGTTGAGTACAGGACAGACCCCACGCGTGAAGCCGTGTGAACAAAGGCAGAGCAGTTAAGAGGGCACTTGCATTTTGTAGGGATAAACACAAGACTCCTGAGCAATTTCAGGCAGTGCTAGCGGGAAAGTCAGTTTTGCCTGTATCTGTAAGTCAAGGACATGGTGCCAGGAAATAGGGAATGGATCTGGGAAATAGAAATTTGGAAGACCATGCTTTTGAAAATGAAATTCAATGCAGATGACCACAGCATTGTCTAGAGGGGTCTTCTAGAAGATCCAGGTTCTGTGTGGACCAGCAGTGGATGAAGATGATGAGCATTGGAGATAGACTACAGTTGGAGGGGGTAGGATTAAAGTGTGGGAAAAAGATAGGGTGAGAAGATTGTTCTTTACTTTCAGATGAAGAAAGAAACTTGACAATGAAATCTAGACCATGAAGAATCGTGTTGGAGGGCTAGCGAAGGGCTCTGGTCTGTGTTGTTAAAAACAACAGGAATTACTCTCTCGTTGCTCTGGAGGCTACAGGTTTGACACCAGGGTGGCTTCCACGGGGCTGTCCTCTCTCTGAAGGCTCTAGGAGGACCTTCCATGCCTTGTGGGCCATCCTAGGCTTGGAGACTCTTCACTAAACCCTTTCTCTGTCATCATGTGGCTTAGAGTGAAGGCTGTAAACTTGGAATAGGATGGGCACAATGTGGGCTGCATGACAAAAATTCTACTTGAAGGCGAGTAAATGATGGCAGGCTGCTCAGGGACCACATGGACCTCAGTCGCTAATTGTTTACAGGCAGAAATCAGAAGGGAACTTGTACTGTTTATTTCCTCTTCTTATAAGGACAGAAGTCATTTTGAATTAAGATGACCTGAAGTCCAAATGATGTCCTCTTAACTTAATTCTGTCTGTCGACACCATATTTCCAAATAAGATCACATTCACAGGTATTTGTGGATTAGGGACTCAGTGCAGTTGAACACAGGAACTCATCTCATTATTAATACCATAAAGTTCCAGGGGGCTTCTTGGGTCTCCCGAATGGAACATGTCTGATGGAATGTTTGGCTCTTTCATTGGGGTAGGGAAGGAGGCAGAGTAGGGGGCAATATCCTGAATAATGTACATGTAGACGGTGAGATTGAACACAGAGGCCACTCCAATCAGCTGGGTCTGGGTTCCAGCAATGTTCGAACTGTCATCTGTCAAGAGTGCTCCCCAGAGACGAAGAGACTTTGTGATTTGCATCCTCTTCTCAAGTCCCTTGGATGTCCATTATCTCAATCGACCTTATGCATAATAAACGAGAGAGGGCATCTCTAGCATATTGCTTCATACCATTACAAAGGCTGAACAGAGCAATGAAAAAACTAAATGCAGTTTTGTGACCATCTGGGTATTGTTGCCATCTTCATAACCATTAGACTTAGTGCAAGAGATGTATTAATTAGTGTCATGAGAAGGAGAAGGTAAAAGACTGGGCTGCGCATGGAAGCTTTTGCCAGCATACTGCCAAGCTTTCTTTTAGAAATGCCAGCAGTTTGGTGGTGGTGCGTCAAAAAAACTTTCAAAATTACTTCCCATTTTCCTCTTACTGACAGCTGTTGGCATGTATGTGCACTAAGTCAAAGGGCCGCCATGTTTCTTTTTAAAAATGTGAGCCACACACAGTGAGGTTTGAAAGCGCACAGAGAAAACCGGAGAGAATGAGAGGGGGTGGCTTGCACCTCTTTTCCTGTAAGTGAGGAGGACATGGGGAAGCCCAGAGCGTTTGAGCTGGAAGGAGGCTTGCGGGTTTCACAGTTTCCGAGAGATTTACGTCCACAGCATAAAAACAAGCAAAACCTCTTTTTGTACTTGTAGCTCTTGCAGATGAGCCTGGTTTGGTTCCCAGCATCCACACTGTAGCTTACAACCATCTATAATGTAACTTCGGTGGACAGGGCAGTCAAGGTCAGTCTAAGCTCAGTAATGAGTTCTTGCCTTGGAAATGAATGGCCAGGATGCGGCTCGGTAGCTGAGCACTTTCTCGGCATGTACATGGCCCTGATTTGATGTTTTGGCTGAGACATTGATTACTAACACAGAATGATTGGTCTTTACATGCCTTTAGATTTTCAAAGATCGTCTTAAAGATTTCAGGTTTGACACAAAGATCACAGAGGGTGACACTCACTAGTAGAACCTAACTTCATCTCCCCTTGTGGGAGCCTGGCCTTGTCACCCTCAGAAAAACCACACACTCATGCAGACACACACACGTGCATGCACACACACACTCATGCAGACGCGCGCACGCAAATGCATGCACACACACATGCATGCATGTATGCACACTCTCATGTGTGCACACACACGCACACACACGCATGCACACACAATGACACTTGCTGTAGTCACATCTCTCAACCTGGATTGTTGTCAGTTTTGACTGTGATGGAAACACCTACAGACAGAAGTGTCCTGGGAGTGGTCAGAAACGCATAGCACCTCTCCAGCATAGCCAAGTGCCTTTCCCTTTGTGCAGTCTGGGAGTGGTGCAAGAGTTATTTCTGTTGTTGCCCTAACCCTGGGCTTCCTGTGTGAATGGCTGAGGGTGTTCATAGTCTTCCTGAGTATCAGATAGGTTATGACCTTCAAACTTTTTAAAACTGTGACTATGGTGCACAATGTGTTTCACCCTATAGTGTGTTACACACACTTCTCTATATGTGTTGATTGATACTGATTCCCAAAGATGCACTGCTTTCATTGATGAGACACCACCCTACAGTATGTCTGCTCAGATGCGTTCTGACATTGACTGCTTTGTTTCATTGAAGAGCACACCTGTCATGTTCTAGGCTGCAGCTGGAGAGCTGTGGTGGGTGTAGTAAGTTTCTGTAACTGCTAGAGTCAGAAAAAATTCCTTCCTTTCTTCTCCCCCGTCCCTTCTCTGTGTCTCTCTCTCCCTCTCTCCTTTGTCTTCCTTCCTTCCTTTCTCTCTCTCTCTCTCTCTCTCTCTCTCTTTCTGCACTTGTGTATGCATGCATGTGGTAACCATTAGGTACCACCTACCTTTTCCATGTATGTATATGCATGTGTTCACGTGTGAGCAGGTGCCATGTGTGTGCAAGTGCGCATGCAAGTGTGTGTAGAAGCTAGAAGACACCTCAGCTATCATCCTTGAACTTGCCATCCACTTCCTTTGAGACAGAGTCTTCCTTGGGTCAGGCGCTCACCAATTAGGACCGAGAGATCCTCCTGCCCCCATTGTCCATGTGCTAGGATTCTAAGTTCATGCCACCACACTGGGCTTTGGGAAAAGTACTTTCTTATCTTAGATCGTGTCCTTGGCCTTGCTGTGGTGTTCAAAGCTTCACTTTGAGGTTTTCTGTTTTCTCTGGAAATTTATTGAGAACGTTTCCATCTCGGCTAAGGGTCTGTTGCCACTGACCTCTCTTCTGGGTGAAAGCCACAACACCATGATAATCAGTGTTGTCTCTTGCATATCCCTGGAGCTTGCGAGTGCCTGGGGGTGGTGCCCCATGTGTTCTCATTAACCCCAAACTAATTTGTCTGGTTTCTTGTAGGTGTCTTATAGGGCTCAGCACACTGGTATTGTGAAGATTGTCGCTCAGATGGTGGCTGTTTGGATACTGGCTTTTTTGGTAAATGGCCCAATGATTCTGGCTTCAGACTCCTGGAAAAACAATACTAGCACAGGGGAATGTGAGCCTGGCTTTGTCACAGAATGGTACATCCTCGCCATCACATCATTCTTGGAATTTCTGCTCCCCATCATTTCAGTAGCCTATTTCAACGTGCAAATTTACTGGAGCCTGTGGAAGCGTGGGGGCCTTAATAGATGCCTCAGCCATGCAGCGTTTGTCTCCACCTCTTCTAGTGACTCTGGACATTTACCCAGAGCTGGGGTAGCTTCCAGGACATCTCTTCCCACATCCCTTCATCCAGAAAGTCCTCGAAGAAAGAGCAGTCTCCTGGTGTCCTTAAGAACTCACATGAATAGCAATATGGCTGCCTTCAAAGTGGGTTCCTTCTCTCGGTCCGAAAGCTTAGCACTCCACCAAAGGGAGCACATGGAGCTGCTCAGAGGCAGAAAATTAGCCAGGTCACTGGCCATCCTCCTGAGTGCTTTTGCCGTGTGCTGGGCTCCGTACTGTCTGTTTACAATTGTTCTTTCAACCTACCCCAGAGGGAAGCGCCCCAAATCAGTTTGGTACAGCATTGCCTTTTGGCTGCAGTGGTTCAATTCTTTCGTTAATCCCTTTTTGTACCCCTTATGTCACAGACGTTTCCAGAAAGCCTTCTGGAAAATGTTTTGTGTGAAAAAGCAACCCACACCATCACAGAACCAGTCCGTATCTTCTTGAGGACAATGACATCACGTCTGTCAGCTCCAGTCCCTGTGCCATCTGAATGGATTTGAGCTTTCGTCTTGCTCTATATTCTCTAACAAACGATGCATAAAATATAATGTGTGAAAACGTCAATAAAAACTCCCAATGGAGAACACTACTCTGGTCAACAACAGTGTAGTGAAGGCGCCAAATTCACAACTGCAGAAATACTGATGCTTCCCGTAGTTCCCACCTCCTCTCCACCTTGTCCCCCGATATAACACCGTGGAACTGCTGTATTCTTTCAGTGTTCAGTGCTCCACCCTGTGTGTAGATGCTTTCAGAGGCCAGAAGAGGTCGCCACACCGCCTGAAGCTGGAATTACAGGCACCTTTGAGCCACAAGACACAGGTGCCGGCTTGCTGAGCCACTGCTCCGCCACCAGTGTCCGTTTCCCATTTTCTAGTTGCATAATGTGTCTAGCTCGAATCACCACTTCTTAAAGAATCACTGGGCAAGCGGGCCGTGCAAGGGGTGGGACCTCCGTCTGTGGGTAGGGGGATTTAGCAAAAGCAGGGTTGGAATGACCCCAGCTTAGCCTATGGGTATTTCTAGACCTTACTTTCATGACCCCAATAGGAAGGAGGCATGATGAAGTAAAAAACAAAACAAAAACTCCTGTCAACTCTAGGACAGGGCAGTCACTCGTGTTTGAAAGGTCAGCTTCTCCTATTTTTTTTTTTCCTACCCTCCTTTCCCAACTTCCACATCACCTAAAACTTACACTGGTGAGAAAATATGGGTGAGAGGAAGGGCTGTGTGGATGCGGGAACAATATGGTCAGGCTACACCGGCTGTGACAGTCACACCCTGGCTGTGACATTCACTCAACTAACAGATGTCAGCAATTATTTACAAATCAAAAAGTATGTATGGATATTTGCCTGCCACTGCACGTGTGTCTGTGCAACATGTGTGCCTAGCGTCAATGGAACTGGGGTCGCAGATGGCCATGAGTCACCGTGTTGTTGCTGGGTACCGAACCTGGGTCCTCCAAAACAGCAGCCAGTACTCCAGTCTGCTGAGACATCACCTCCAGCCTCAAGAATGGCGGTAAGTACTAGTAAAATAGTGTTCCATTTATTTAATGCCACTAATTAATCTGCCCAGTGTTTTGCATGTCAAGGCTCAATCTGTTTCCTTTACTGTGCACTCAGTGTAGACTAATTCACTGATATTTTATTATTTTTATGGTATTTTGTCCTCGTGTATTATTTTCTCTTTTTGAGACACGGTTTATTACATAACCCACGCTAGTGTGGAGCTTGTGATTCCCCAACTTTGCTCCAAAGTGTTGGGATTACACGCACAGCCACCGTGCCTGACGGACTTAAGAAAACATTTTTTTTTTCCCTCTCAGCATCTTAGCTGGAGTTGTAATCAAATTTTATTTTGTCTTGGTAACTCCATCACCTCCATTAAGAAAGCTTTCTTGGCAGTCTCTGTTTCTTCTCGGGGGTCTTAGGCAACTTAATTTGTGTATTTGTTAGATCTCTTATACCTTTTACTTTTTAAATTAAATTTTCAGGTTAGTATGTGAGGTATTGGGTTTCATTACAGCATTTTCATACGTGTGTGCTCTTACACGTGGTTCTCATTAGATCCATTTAAAACTTTGATTATTTACAAACACTAAAATATGAAGCTCTTTATAGCACATGAGTGCTCACAAATGGGCCTAATTTTATACCTATTTATACTTTACATGAGTCAAGTGCTTTGTTGTTGTTTGTTGAGACAGGTTCTCTGTGTATTCCTGGGCCTCAAACTCACAGAGATCCACCTGCCAATGCCTCCCAAGTGCTGGGATTAAAGGCATGCGCCACCACTGCTTGGCAAGCAGTCTTAATATAAATTCTAAAGTATCTGAGTAGTAAGCTATCATAACATTTATGGATTTGTAATTTTGATTTTATATGGCTTCTAAGTAGTGGTCTTATCAGAACTTTCCTCAGCTTGGCCTTGGGAAAAGCATAGCTACACACTCCTAACACATTGACAATTCACCATTAAATGGAAATTACTGCAAATTCTCTATGATACAATACTTTGAATGTCACATTCATCATCCTGTTCTTATTTGATGTGTCTCTTCCCTCTTCCATTGTCCCAGAAACAAGAGGAAGCTCAAACTCCAGTCCCTTCCTGTGTGTCTACTCTACCCAAATTTCTGGCTTCTCTCTGGCCAATTCCTGTCAGCTAGTGGCTTGCTCTGCCCTCTGACTCAAGGTTTACTTTATTGGGCAGTCTCAGGAGGGTCAGAGTGCAATCAAAGTAGACCACAGCATCTCCTGTAGCTGGCTTTTTTTTTTTCTATTTTAACATGGGTTCTGAGGATAAAACTCAGGTTAGACGCTTGTATGCAAATGCTTTTATCCACCAAGACATCTTGCCAGCCCGTGTAGTTGTTTCTTTATAGGCTTAGATGTTTCCTGGGGAACAAGAGATACCATTTTAGTTCCCAGTGAGTGGCTCTGTCGAAAGATTTGTGCGGAGACTCTACTTAATCTCTAGTTTCATATTTTGATACTGCCCGTTCCCTGTTCTCAGTAGAGGCCATGAACAATTTGCATGCACGTAAGTGAAGATTCCAGCATAAAAATTTCAGATATCTGCTGAAACACTTTCTGATGTATTTATTTAAGGTCTTATTTAAAGTTTCTAATAGTCAAGAGAAAGATCCAAAACGATGTACATTTTCCCACAGGAAGTACCTACCGGGTGTTTCATGGAACCCGGAAGGTACATAGCTTTTAAATTATTGCTGCATCCCTCTGTGCCCATGCCCAGCCCAGGATTATCCAGGTCCTGCCCCAGGGGATGCTCGGGTCGTTGATTGGCTGCCATGCTTTTCTTGGCCTCTCGTTTCCAGACTTTAATTGGTTTGGTTTTGATGGTGACTTCTGGGTTTTGTTTCCCTGGTTTCACATTTATGGTCTGGAGTTTTGTGGGCCACATCTCCGCACTGTTTCCTGGGCTGGGGAAAATGTTCGGTGTGAGATAATAGCCCAGTGAGGCTCACCCCTGGCATTGGGGTCAGAGAGTCCTTGCCTTTAAGGAGTTATATATTATCTGTCACAGAGCCATTGGGAACACCAATAGGAATGTGTGCCAGGTGGATCAATCATGTATCTAATGCGATCTTGAAGGAATGAGAGAGAGAGAGAAAGGGTAGAGCCCCCATGTGAGAGAGGGTAGAGCCCCCATGTGAGAGAGGGTAGAGCCCCCATGAGAGAGGGTAGAGCCCCCATGAGAGAGGGTAGAGCCCCCATGAGAGAGAGGGTAGAGCCCCACAACCATCCTGCCCATTGCTGCCCTTTGTGACTCTGTGTCTTTTCTGGCAGCCAATTAGAGGTGCTATTTCTTGGCAAGGATTTCAAGTTGTTTCCTGGGAATCACATAGATAAGGCTATGAAGGGAGGTGTCAAGGATACAATTTACGCAGCTCAAGTTCGTATACGGTAGCCATGAAAGCAGAGAGCAGGTGTTTAAGCTTCTTTCAACCTTGCATCTCAGCACTAAGGGGGATCCCCTCATTATACCTCCCGCAAAGGGAAGGTGATCATCAGGACTCTCAGAAAGTGCTGACTGAGAAGCGGCCTAACTGGTAATGACAGTGACCAGGGCAATAACACTGAATCAAACAAATCAAATCAAAACAAAACCCCAAACCCAGAATCTCCTCGCTGCATCCGCAATCTCCATGCTGTCCACCAGATGGCAGTAGGTACCCATGATTTTTCTCTCTCCTGCCCTCATAATCACTGAATAGGCTGTAAGAGTTGTGTGTTACAATTTAAAGGAAACAGATAACAGCCCTTACAGCTCAATATTTCCATTAAGTTGTATTCAAGAAGCCAGTAAAGGTGATATGAACTCTGTGTTTGCCCCTCGAGAAGGCCAGGGTGCCCCAGGGTGCTTTCTAAGGTATAAAGGCACTCATTCTACCTTCCAAAGAGACTCTCCAGCCATCATCGTGGCACACAAACCTGGTGCACACAGTCACACATGTCTGTTAGTCTAACCACGCCACCTGCCCACCCCCATGTCCACTCAGCATACACATATAAGCCAAATAGTTCTATGCTCAACCCACTCACTGAACTTCTCCCTGTGTGTGCGTCTCTCAGGCACATCAGCAAAGATCCAGCAATCACACACCTCACTCACCACACTTCGTCATACAGTTACATCCATCCTCCTACCCACCCCTCATATCTATCAACACACAGCGGCACATGCCTCCACATACTACACTCCCCCCGTATACATCACCCACATGTATATACCCCACAATCCACACCCTAGCCCACACAAATCCATCCTTAGACCTGCTCACTTCAACCCTCACCACATCCCCAAGTCCTGTGCATTCATTTGCCACAGACATCCATCTATTCCACAGATCCATTCCAATCCACGCCACGAGCCCAAACACTTCATAGAGCATGCTGTGTATGGCATAAACTCTTTGTGAAACAAAACCATGGCTCTCTCTTTGACCCACTGAAGAGTCAGGCTCACGCATGGTCTTCATAAGGCGCATGACTCTCTTACTTATACACATCCATCTCACACACGTACTCTAGCGGTCTCCCAACCAGTCCGCTCACGTTCTCAAATATCTATCAACATCACCTTCCACACCACACACACACCATACACATTACACATCACACACACGTACACCACACACCATATACACAATCTTACACCCCATACTACACATCACATAATACACCCCCACACCACACACATACATATCACACACATGTCACACGCATACACACTACACACCATACATCCCTCTACACCACACACATACACACACTATATATCACACACATACATACCACACACGCCATACATATCATATTCACACCATACACCACACACACACTGCTCACACTACACATCACACACATATATATATACCACACACATACATATCACACACGTCACACACACACATCACACACACACACCACACCTACATCCCCCTACACATACCACACACGCATATGCATGCCACACACAAATGCACACCACACACACAAACATACACATCATATACACACTACATACATATACATACATATCACACATCACATACATACA